AGTCAAGCCGATACAGTTCAGTCCTCAAAATCACAAACCCGGCCGCGCAGAAACATCGGGTTTTTGGCGTTTTTGGTTCCGCATATCATCATAATTTGGACGCCATGTTAAGCCATGCTAAGAGCCGAAAGTGCCGATCCTGCCGTGCTTTTCGCACATTGTTAGCAAGCAAACTGGGGCAAACGAGGGCGATGGACCCTACACCCTGAACCCTAAACTCTAAACCTTAAGCCCTACCCACTAAAGCCACTGGCCTTCGTCGTCCAGCAGACGACGCACAGCTCGCAGCGCACGTCTCTGAATCTGCAGCTCCGTGCCTCACGGTCGCAACACGAGGTAGGGGTCTGAATAACTAGAGTAGGGTGCTGGGCTGTATACCGTACATAAATATATGCACATATATATATATATAACATATATATACACATATACATAAAGACTACTGTGGAATACGTTAATTGAATATTGAGACTCCTGTAATACGCAACCACAAGCTCTCAATGATGCTACATAGGAAAACCGACGCGGCAGCGACGAAGCAAAGTGACACCATCGGCAACAACAAGCGTACCGGCGCAGCGAAAATCGTGACAGCACCATCAACGACAGCAGCAGACACATCACTCAACAGAAAAACACATTCTTTCGACCCCACCAACACCAGCGACAAAAACAGTGACAAAGACGACAGCGAAAATTACGATCCGAAGCACCCAGACAACAAAGAAAACACAAACATGGCCAACACCTCCACCCGAACGAGCACCGCTGCCACGGCCACCAACACCAGTACCTGCAACGGCACAGGCACCGGTACTGGCACTACAGGAGCACAACCACAACAAGAATGGTACATAACATCAGGAAAACAACAACACCAGCAGCATCATCATTTCATGATCATGATCATCGTCATCATCATCATCAGCATCATCAACAAAGACATCAACATCAATAACAACATCCGGATCAATATCAAGATCAATAGCATCATCACCATCAGCAGCAGCAGCATCTTCAACAGCAACATGAAGATCAAGGTCATCATCATCGTCATCATCATCACCACCACCAGCTGCACAATCACCACGATCTGCAACATCGCCAGCATCATCTGCAAAGCACGAACAGACTCAACGCATCCACAGGGGGATCCAAGTTCAGCACCCAGCCTCATTCAATGCGATGCAGTGCAAACTGACCCCCTGAACCCCAAACCCCAAACCCCTAAACCCCTAAACCCTTAAACCCTAAACCCGGAATCCTAAACCCCTAAACCCTTAAAGCCTAAACCCTAAACGGCTATCGGCGGAGAGCTGAGCCCATGGCTCCGGTACGCGAGCTCGAGCAAGTTCGCAACTGTGTCCTGCGGGAGGTTTGGGAGGTTTTGTCAGGCAAAGCTTGAAGTTGCAGCGTACGGGTTTAGGCCTAATTCGGGTTTAGGGTTTAGGGTTTAGGGTTTCCTAGGTCGAACTTTCCCGTTCTCGCTACCAGAACGGTACGTCGCCCCAAGGATGAGCCAAAGGTAGCTAGCGTAGGGAGCTGCGTGATCCTTAGGCCAGGGTACGTCAGGGTACACAGGGGGGTATGTAATGTTATATACTGTCACTAGTTAGTTATTGTCAGAACTGTGAACTCTTAGAGGAATAATACTACCGGGTTACTACCGATTTTATAATCGGACCTTGGACTTCTTGAGCACGCAAAAAGTCCCTGTACTTAAGCTCGAATCGTCTTGGAAACTCCTGCGTCGCGCGGCGTGACTGTCTGGAGTCTGGGGCGATGAGTGCCATGAACAACCTGATCTGAAGTGGCTCCTACGGCTTGTAGGGCTTAACGTCCTGCTGCTGAGCTCCAAAAAGCCCAAAGTATATCCTAGTTGTGGACTTTCGACATGAACCAGAGTGCTTTTGGTATACTTGGATTCCCAAGGTAAGCTCGAAGTTCTACCTGGACCCGGAATGATAGAGCCTTTTGCGCGACCTGCGGTTTTTATCACTCAGGATCCTAACCGTTTCTGATACAGGTCAATCACTCTAGGTAGGTTGTTTCACTTAGACCTGCGCGAGCTTGCTGCGAGTTCCTCGCGGGACTTACAAGTCTCAGGGTCTGGCCAACAGCCTCCGAGCCCTTAAACCCTAAACCCTAAACCCCTAGACCCTAAACCCTAAACCCTAATTTAAACCCCTAGACTCTAAACCCTAAACCCTGAACCCCTAAACCCTCAACCCTATCATCTTAAACCCGAAAAATCACAGCATAAAGCCCGGCCCAGGAATGCCGAGCCGTAAGGAGATTAGGGTTTAGGGTTTAGGGGTGTAGGGTTTAGGGGTTTTGGGGTTTAGGGTTTGGGGGTTAGGGGTTCAGTGGTTTAGGGTTTTGGGGTTTAGGGGTTAGTGTGAAACCGAAAGCCGGAACAGGCATGGCCCCTGCTGCAAGGATGACGTTGCACAAATCGAGGCTTTGTGGTTCGCAGGAAAAGTCTGTGTGCCCCTCGTGCCGGGGGGGTTCGACTTCTTAGGGTGCCGGGGTTCGGGGGGCTGGTTCTAAGCTTCAGTGGGGTTAGGCCAGGGTCCCGGGCTTGTCGTTTTCGTCTTGTAGTTTGTCATTGGTAGCGGAGCCCGGGCCGCGTTCGGGGGGTTCCTCTTTGTGTCTTCGGTGTGTCTCTGTCTTCTCTTCTTTGTCTGTGTTCGGTCTGTCTCTGATTGGGCTGTGTCCTTCAGGGTATCTAGTCTCCTGCGCTCGATGGCGCCCTCTGCGGGAGATGAACCCACTTCTTACTACAGTACTCCTCCTGCAGATAATGCGAACGAGACAGCTGACGATCAAGTGAATTCCAACTGGGGATGGGACTCTAGCTGGGGTCGGGGTGATCGTTGGCAGTGGGGATGGCGTTGGCCATACGGCTATCGTCAACACTGGCCTTGGGGCTACGGGGCCGAGTGGAACATGGACGGTGGCGATTTCTCCAACAACACTGGCGCAGGTGTTGTAGCAGATGACGATAGTGGCTCAGGAGCTCGCTCGGAAGATCATCCTGCACATGAGTCAGCGGGTAACGAGGGTGTGGCTTTGGGTTACAATCGGAGGGCTTCCTGGAATTCTTCGGGTGCTTGGACTTGGGATTCATCGACTCAGGCTCCCAATTCCACTGGGGACAGGGGCTCAACACAGGACTCTTCTGCCTGGAAGGGATCTTTCGGGGAGAAAATGGCGGTCCCAACGTATGATGCCGAGGGAACAGGAGAAGAACTAGGCACCGGAGCCAGATCTTATCTTCGGCAGGTGGCAGCGTGGTGCCGTGTCACGCGCACTCCTGCGCATCAGCAGGCGTTGCTCCTCTATCAGAACTTGAAGGGGCGAGCATGGGTTGAGAGCGAGGAGTTGCAAGTTGAATCTCTTTCGGGTCCAGACGGCCTGAATGTGTTTCGGGCTTGGATTCAGGAACGGTACCTTGAGGTTGAGGTGGGCAAGATAGCGGATGCCTTAACCACGTTCTTCAAGCGCTTGAAGAGACAGTCAGGCCGAACCATCCGTGAATTCAACTCTGCTTTCGATAGATCTTATTCGAGGCTCTTGGAGATTGATTGCAAGCTACCGGAGGTTGCAAAGGCTTGGGCATACTTGAGTTCGTTGAGTTTGAGCAGCTCTGAAGAACTTTCTTTTTTGGCTTCGGTCGGGAATGAGTACAATGTTGCAAAGCTTCAGAGGGCCGCGGTTCTCCACGAGAAATCGATTCGCCCACCATGGCAGCCTCGAAAACCAGGTTTTCCTGACAACAACAAGGGGATCAAGGGTGTCAAGGCATCTTTCCTTACAGGTGTTGATGAGGAGGATGATGGTGACAACGAGCCGGACGCCGTGGGTGATGATGTTTGTCTTTCAGAGGAGGAAGCTGTAGCCATGCATGAGGCTTACGTTGCTCAAGAAACTGCGAAAGCCAAATACAGGGAGATCTCCAAGGCTAGAGGCGTGGACCCCAATGTCCTTAAGGAGCTCAAGAAAGGCCCCTCAGATGATTCCCAGAAACAAGCCATTGAGGATCGATTTGCCAATGCGAAAGCGCGGTCATATTGCGCAGGATGTGGCCGTCGTGGCCATTGGCATAAAGATTCTACTTGTCCCCTCAACCGACCCGAGAATCAGCAGAACAGCAACCGGAACAGGAGCTCCAATGGTCAGCAGGCCCATGTGACCTTCGATGAGAGCGCTTCGGTGGTCCAGGTTGCATACGAAGTCGGGGATTCGGGAGGAAGTAAGCTCTTTGCCATCACGGATACAGCGTGCAGTAAATCTGTGATGGGTCAGGGATGGCTGGAATCCTACCTCAAGCTTGCTAAGAATGCCGGGGTTGAGACGCAATTCATTGCCACCTCGGATGATTTCCGCTTCGGTGCATCAAAGCTCTTCAGGGCTACTTTCACAGCCACGATCCTTATCGAGCTTGGCGGCAAATCCTTCGCAGTCAGGGCAGCTGTTGTGGATGGAGAGGTGCCCCTATTGCTCAGTCGGAGGGTGTTGAGTCTTTTGGGCATGGTGTACGATGTCGGTGAGAACTCCGCTAAGTTCAAACACCTCGGGGTGGGTGAGATCCAACTTGCTACCACAGACAATGGTCACCCAGCTATCGTTGTGAATCCCAGGTCCGGCAAATCGCTTAAGTTCCCATCACCCCAACAGTGGGCTGATGACGAGGTGAAGATGCTTCCTTTCGCTCAGGGGCAATACGCGGCGCATGCTGTGCACATGACTTCTGACATGTCCCGCACACCTGAAGCTCCTCAAATCAAAGGGCCTGGAACCCAGCTTGCTTCGAGAGGACCATTGGCCGATGTGACTACCAAGCTCTTCTACCCCAAGAAAATCAACCCCACCATCAGGAACCTCTTGTGCGCTGCTTCCTTGAATCATGAGTTGTTCGCTGCGTGGTGGAGTCACACACACACACATCACCAAGGATTTCTGGATTGAGACCTCAACTTCCTTCATTAGGATCCATGTAGTGCCCCGCCGAGGACTTTTCGATCCCACCATGTGGAACACTGATCTGAAGCAGGTCAAGGATGAGCTCCTTGGTATGATTGGTGAGGTCAGGTCTACTGCGGCTGTGTCGTGTAGTACCACGCGAGAGTTATGCCCTCTACATGATGTGTGGCGAAGTGATCCTCAACCTCTGCATCCTGTGCTCTGGGTCGGTAGGACGACTTTTTCTAGGGCACCTCGTAGCTTTGCCGTCGCGGGCGAGACAAGTGAGACCGAAGCCCCAAGCGCAGTCTGCAATGGCGAGCTCTTCGAAGGACAATCGCACGCCCTCCCTCCGGCAGATGAACAAGACCCAGTTGTTTGCGGAGGCATCGAGGCTGGGCATCGTGACTCATCCGTCCTGGACTACGGGAGAAGTGCGGCAGCTCATTGCGGACAAGAGGGCCGGAATGAATCAGGCCACGACCCCAAAGGGGATGGCGAGCATGACACGCGACCAGCTGATTGCGGAATGCGACAAGCTGGGAGTGGAGTATCCATCGAAGCCGACCAAGGGACAGCTGTTGCTAATCATCCGGGACTCCACGACTTACGGGAGGGCGAACTGCGTGGTGACCTTCGGACGCCACAAGGGAAAGCTCTTTTCCGAAGTCCCCCACTCGTACCTTGCATGGTCTCAGAAGGAGGTGGCGGCTCAAGGACGGGATGCATGCACTCCGGACCTGGTCAGTCTCAGCATGTATGCGACGGAAGTCTTCAGGAAGGACCTACCCTTCGATCCGGAAGCCTCCCCGTCGGTCCCCATTCCAGACGACAATGCCTCGATGAGCTCCTGCTGGGAGAGCCATTGGTCGGAACTCACGGATGTGGCGAAGGAGCTGAATGGCCCGCTACCGCGCGCCATGGGACACCCAGAGGCCGATTGCTCCCAAGGCCACCCCGGAGCAGCAGACCGCTGCCCCGAAGATTGCACCGAAGAGCGGCTACTTCAAGCGGACCCAGGAGAACGAGGGCAAGGAGGCGATGGAACAGGACGTGCCGCCCGAAGTGAAGAAGGAGGTGGAAGACCTGATGGCACGGCTCGCGGCGATCAAGGACCGCTACAACATGTGAGTCCAGATGAGCTGGATGGCGCATCGGAGGACGAAGGTTCCCCCGAACAGGGGCTCGAGGATGAGGCTCTCATTGCGCGAATTCTTCCTCGAGGTGGTGATGCGGATATCACTGCCGATGAGGTCTTCTATGAATGTCAAGAGCAGCTTTCCGCTCCAACCAAAGATGGGCCCGAGCGATCTGTAGAGCACCACGCGCGGGGATCTCCTCAGCAGAAAAGATTACAGTTTCGATGCGTGCCAACAGCTGATTGAAAGGGTGTGCAAGCAAAGCCAATCTAGTAGAAAGCGCAAAGTCAATGACGGGACGTGTAGTGTGGCGCTTGGCGGCTATTCGCACGGCAAATTCTATGGCGTGATCCGGCGTACCTATCAGTATTGGTATGTGTGCAAGTACGTGAACCGATTCATGCGTTTTCACGGAGCTCAGGGTTCATGGAGCAGTATCCAACTTTGCTTTGACTGTCATGTGGGCCCTCATATCGATGCACACAACATCGGGAGCAATTGGGCTATCTCTTTCGGGGACTTTGAACGAGGTCGTCTCTGGCTTGAGCACAATCCCGAGACTGAGGTGAATGACGACTCGGTGCTCCACGAGGCTATCTTGTCGGATGGCTCCAAGGGTATCGGCTGCTTAGTAGATACCAGACACAGAATGTCACAGTTCTGTCCCAAAACAAAACACGCGGTCGAGCAGTGGTCTGGCGTAAGGTGCAGTATCGTGGCCTACACCACCCGTGGCATCGGTGAGCTCTCGAGACCAGAGAGAGATGTGCTTCGGAGCAGTGGTTTTCCTCTCGGTAATGTCAAGGGCTCGGAGTCTTGGGGAAAAGAGCACAAGCTGAGGCCAAAGAAGAGCGTCAGGAAGAATCTTTGGAAAGGGGCACAACGAGCAAGCTCCTTTCTCACCTTAGGCCTCGTCGCAGCCTCTTCTTATGTTGCTGAGCATCTTCCCCATGGCAAATCTCCGCACCAGCCTCCTTGAGATTGGGGACAACAAGCTCACCTTGAACGTTGCTGAGGTCGGCTTCAATGTGATCGAACCGCTCAGCTGGGAGGACTATATCAATGCTAAACATGACCTGATGATCCCCAATATCCTTATAGTTCAATGAAGCCCAACGTTGTCTGGTTTCAAGGTGCCACAGATGACTGCCCCAACTTCGAGCAGATTCTACCGGTAGCAGATCAGCAGCTCGGTCAAGGTGGTGTTGTTGTGTACAGCAATACCAAGGACGATCCGGTTTGGGAGCACATAAGAGCCCTGATGAATGAGTGCGACTGTGTATTTGAGGAGATTGGAAATCACAAAACACTTCATGTACAACCTTGTGTCAAGTATGAAGAGGGGAAGTGCATTCAGTCACAGGACGCTGGCGAGGACGTGTTGGTGTCTTCCCATGAAAATAAGAAGGAGAATCACGATCCGCTCGGAGCTTCGGCGGTTCACTTCGACAAAAACGTGCCTAAGCATGTCCAATCAGCTCTGACGAGATTGCATCAAAACTTAGGTCACCCCAAAGTCTCTGACCTGGTGCGTCATTTGAGGTTTGCAGGTGCGGATGAGGCGGTGATCAAGGCCTGCAAACACATGCGTTGTGATGTTTGTGATCGCAATCAGCGGACTGGTGTGGCAAGGCCTGCGGTGCTACCATCACTCCTTGACATGAACCAGGTTGTGAGTGTCGATGTCCTTTCGGTTTTTGATTCGGATCGGGTCAGGCATGAATTCCTATCTGTGATCGATCACGCGACTACATTTCATCTCGTATGCCCTCTTGAAGGCCACTCCGGTGATGATTTCTGTAGACAGTTCACACAGCTCTGGGGGAATGTCTTCGGTGCACCAGGAACTATCTCTGCCGATCTAGAGAGTGGACTTCAACTAGGAGTGTCGCGCTTCGCAGAATTCCACGGATGCAAACTTCGCACTTCCGCGGGACAGGCTCATTGGCAACAGGGTGTCATTGAAAGACATGGGTACTGGTTCCAAGAAATCCTCCAAAGGGTTATAGATGAAAAGTCAATCACCAAGGACGATATGTTCATGGCGGTTCAGGCGGTCAACAGCGCAAACAATGAGTTGCGCAGGAGGCACGGTTTCTCAGCATCGCAAGCTGTCTTTGGCAAAGATCCACGAACACCTGAGGAGCTTGAGTCGGGGGTCGATGAGGAAAGGTTCATCGAGATTGTGTCCGGGGATCAACGCCGGCAACGGGAAGTTGGCATCAGAGCCTCGGCCAGGATGGCATTCTTCAGGACACAGATTGACACGAAGTTCCGCAGAGCCATGATCCAAAGGTCTAGGATTAAGCGAGGCGGTTATGCGGTTGGGGAATTGGTGTGCTTCTATCGCATCGAGAAGGTCGCTACGAAACGTGGACAGTGGAAAGGACCGGGCACAATCATTGGCCATGACGGTGGGAATTGGTGGGCGTCGTTTGGGGGACGTTGTCACCTGGTGGCTGAGGAGCATCTTAGGCCGGCTACTTCAGAGGAGCTCGGAGAGCTCTTCTCAACGCGGATTGCCCGCGATGACCTCGAGAGGCTCCTTGAACTTGACCCCGATGATCCTGAAACCTACCGCCCACCTGTTGAGGAGACCCTGGACATCCTTGACGATGACCCCCTCCAGGAGTTCACGCAAGGGCCGGAGGACGACATCGACATGGAAGAGTACGAGCCCAGTTTGCCTGGAGAGGACGGGGGTCACATGGATGATGTTCCGGTTGACGTTCGGGGTGAAAAACGAGATGGAGGCCCGCCCCCATCAATCCCACATGTGTCTCGCAGAGTGCGCCAGAAGCGGCCCGAAAAGACTGAGAAGACCGCTTACATGCTGAAAAGGTGTCAAACCGAAAGGGCACTGGAGAAACAGCTGGAGAAGGAGATTCCATGGAGATTGGTGCCACCTGAGGAGCAAGAAGCTTTTCGCCTAGCAGAAGACAAACAAATCAAAGAGCACTACGATCACTCAGCTCTTGAACCGCTCTCGCTCGAAGAGTCTGCTAAGGTACGACAACGGGTTGCCGATAGCAGGATCTTATCTTCCAGATTCGCGTGCCGCGATAAACACTGGAGTCGTCGCAAGATTGACCCCAAGGTGCCTTGGAAGCATAAAGCGAGAGTTGTGGTCTCGGGTCACCGTGATCCGGACATACCCCACCTGGAGACAGATGCGCCTACCATAGGACGGTTGACAATTCTCACGCTCTTTCAGATACTCGCGAGCAGAAGAGAGAAGCTGGGGTGGATGGCATCGGCAGGTGACATTACGGCAGCATTTCTCGACGGAGACCCTTTGGAGCGTGAACTCTTCTTGAGACAGCCGAGGAGTGGTGTTAGAGGACTGCACCCAGACCAACTGTTCAGAGTGAAGAAAGGCATCTTCGGATTGCCTGACAGTCCGAGGAAATGGTGGCGTAGACTACGGCGGGACATGTTGAGCGTGACGATCAGCTATGCAGGACAGGACTTGCGGTTTGAGCAGTGCGCACTCGATCCATGTCTTTTCCAGTTGATAGACCCACAGTCCGGTAAGCCACTTGCCTATGTTGGGGTTCACGTCGATGACCTACTTGTGGTGGGACCAAAGGGACTAGTGTCATGCATCAAGAGCTCTCTGTCCGAGATCTTCCCAGTGGACGGCTGGGAGGACGACGAGTTCGAGTATATCGGCTCGCATGTCAGGGTTACCGAGGAAGGGGTCCATGTTGATCAGGAAGCCTACGCTAGCTCAAGGTTGTTTGAAGTCGAAGTCGAAAGAGGACGGGATGACCTCGAAGAAGCTTCCGAGAGCCAAAAGATAGACAATCAGTCGTTGATCGGAGCTTTGTCATGGTTGGGTTCACAATCCAGGCCCGATTTACAATGCAGTGTATCTCTCGCGCAACAACTTCAGAAATCCCCAACCATCGAAGACATCAAATTTAGCAACCGTATCGCGAAGAGGGCATGGGAGCACCGCGATCAGGGTGTGTTTCTGCGCCCTCTGGACCTTTCGTCCCTCGAATACCTCGTGTTTCACGATTCGGGATGGGCCAACGCGCTCTTGGATGGAGAAGAACACTTCATTCTGAGCCCTGAGGATCACGAGCTGGGGACTATGAAGGACACTCCTTTCGATAAGAAAGCTCGGAAGGCCCGTAAGGAGAACTCCAGGGTTGCGAGTCAGCTTGGCATCCTGATTGCGCTTACGGACTCCCATGGCTTTAAGAGCGGAGGCGGGGTCACCAGTGTGATCGATTGGAAGTCATCAGCTAATCCTCGAGTCTGCAGATCTACGTTTGCTGCTGAGACGACTGCGTGTTCTGAGGCAGTCGAAATGGGCCAGTACGTTCGGTCCTTCGTTGAAACGGTCTTGCATGGAAACCTGAAGAGAGTTGAAGACTTAGCTGGCTCCAAGCTGCGATGCATTACAGATTGCAAATCCTTGTTCGATCACCTACATCGCGAGGGCGTTCCTCGCGTTCCTTCGGATAAGAGGCTTGCTATTGACCTCGCTGCATTGCGACAGACTTTCAATCTGGAACGTGTACTCGAGAAGATTCCTCTGTATTGGGTGCCTACTGAGTATCAGCTGGCCGATATCCTAACGAAGCCGAAGAACGCAGATTCCTGGTGGAGCACCCTCCGTTCTGGGATCCGTCTGCCGTTTGTTCACAGAAGTCAATGAGATGCTCTGTCATGCTGTATCCCTCCATCATTACGGAAGGATGTGCTTAACCTCCGAAAGAGGAAGAGTCTTTGTAATCAGTGTGAAACCGAAAGCCGGAACAGGCATGGCCCCTGCTGCAAGGATGACCGCACAAATCGTCGAAGCATGCATGGCCCCTGCTGCAAGGATGACGTTGCACAAATCGAGGCTTTGTGGTTCGCAGGAAAAGTCTGTGTGCCCCTCGTGCCGGGGGGGTTCGACTTCTTAGGGTGCCGGGGTTCGGGGGGCTGGTTCTAAGCTTCAGTGGGGTTAGGCCAGGGTCCCGGGCTTGTCGTTTTCGTCTGTGCGAAATAGAGGTTCTATGATCAACTAGGGTTCCATAAAGGCTTGGAAGGCCTTAAACCCTAAACCCTAAACAGGCTTATGATGGTTCTATATGATTCCAGGTGGTTCTAGACACTGAGGGCTCGTAGAGTTTAGAGTATAGGGCTTGGGACTGAGCTTAGTGTTCAGGGCTTCAGGGCTAAAATCTGGAAGTGACACTTTACTGAAAATCCCGAGACTATGATATTAACATTGATCACGGCAGCCCCACACTGGCTTGAGGAACACCCCAAACGGCAACCCCAGACCTAAAGACCCCAAACAGGAAAATCCTCAACTTCTACGCGCCCACCCTAAACCCCAAACCCCAAAAGCTCTACAAGAAAACCTAGGCCAAAGAGCACGCTGGGCAGTGAGGCGATCGATTGCATCCCCAGGCCAAGGAGGCGCAAGGGATCCGTCGCCTCCAGGTGGCTCGAAGCTTCAACTCTGCCTACCTACAGTCTCCCACTTGCTAACAGAGTATACCTGTAGTCTCCATTGTAGTTCCTTTTTGGGGCTACCTTATAAAATCCCGAATATATAATTGGTTCAACCAAAAAAGGAACTGCAATGGAGACTATAGGTATTCTTTAGTACGGGATCCTAACCATAGAACAGGTGAATCCAAAGAGGGACCACAAGGGGGGGTAGAGGTCGGCTTCCCCGGCGGCTCTTAGAAGGGCTCCAAGGTTTCGTAGGGTTTTAGAGATCGCGGCTCAGGTACAGGTTCAGGGTTGTGAAGGTTCCTACAGCCTGAAACAGCAGGATTTAGGGTATACCTTAAGAACCCCAAAACCCTATTTTTTTGTAGGCTCTTATTATAAACCCTAATATGGGATTTATAGGGACCCTACAAAAAAGTAGGTTTGGGGTTCTTAAGGTATGGTTTAGGCTTACACCCGATCAAATAGATCCTGAGGACAGGACACTATTTTTTCAGGGATTCCGGGACTCCGGTGCATCCTTTTCCTGGCCCCACAGAGCTCGTAGTTGTAATTGCTGCGGACAGGATGGCTTTGCCACTTTGCCTTTGCTCCGGTAGAACCTGCCCGCTAGTCGCGTTGACTAACCCCAGCAAACATTCCGCTACTGCAAAGCTAGCAGCTTGAGCGAAAGGTGTGGAATCAGCAGTCCGACTTCGTCAAACAGCTTCGTCCACACCCCTGCCGCGGCCTCCGTCTTACCACGGTTCGGTGTTGCATCATCCTTGCACATAGACATAGAGAAGGAGAAAGATTTAGGAAAGGCTAGTGTGCTATTGACACACCAGCATCTGCATCACGGCCACAGGTGGGCGCTTGCGGATCTATGCATGAAATTCCGCACCCGAAAGCAAGTGTCATCGCTTGGGTTGCCTTGGTGCAATCCAACTTCGCACACCATGGTTGATGTGTTTAATACAACGCCTCTTGTGATTCCAAACCTAGCGAACTCCAACACATGAGTTTCCAACTAAAACTATTGCGGCAAGCGCTGCGAGAGGTGGTTGCCCGCCCATCACAAACATTCCAGCGCTGCCATTGCATTGCTGTGAGTTCAACCCTACCCGAGCCCTCAAGACTCGACTGTGTGTATGTATGTATGTATGTATGTATGTATGTATGTATGTATGTATGTATGTATGTATGCATGTATGCATGTATACATGCGGGCTCGCGGGCATGCATGCATGCATGCGTGTGTATGACGTCTCTGTATCTCTGTGTGTATAAATAAATAAATAATACATAAAGAACTAAACAAATGAAACAAACTAATTAACTAAAAACAAATGAATGAATAAGCAATTAAATAAATAACAAATAAACGAAGAAACAAATACATAAATAAATAAGCAAATAAATAATAGATAAGTAAGTGAATCAGATAAACAAACAAATAAACAAACAACTAAGCAAATAAACTAATGAATAACTAAATATGTAACTTTATATGATTATATTATATTTCCAAAATACATTATAAAGACACACCCTACGAGCTCAGACGGCACGTGCCCAAACACACGAACTAAAAGGCCCTAGTAGACTGGACATGCTCAGGTTTAGGGCTGACAGCATGCCGACACAGGTATCCAACACAGATGCATCTATACTGAACTTAGACCCCTAGCAAAAATTACAATTTTAGCTGCTTCTTAGGGTTTATAGTAGCCAAAGATTAAAAACTATTTCTAAGTACCCCTAAGGCATGGTCGCACTCACATGTCTGCCGTGGCCAGCTCTTACCACTCCACACGTTGCCTGAAAGATTGAAACGATGCCAACAGCGTCTTCGTGTCTCCGAAATAGACCCTGAACACTGAACCCTTAACGCACCAAGGTACACGTTTGTTGCTTGGACGACGCTTGCACCGCGAGGAGGAGGTGCCCCGGTCCTCCTCTGGTACCAGATGTCGCGCGTCGTTCGGGTTTCGGTCTTTGGAAGCTTAGGGCTAGCGGGCTTTCAGCAGTTTAGGGTTTTTAAAGTGCAGGGATTTCTGGATTTACGAACTGTTCCTTGCCACGGTTGTGTTAGGGTGTCCGTTTTAGGTCGTGTGGGTCTACGGGGTATAACGCATTTTGTTTGCCTGACTCTGTGCTCCGAAGGTCGTATCTGACGGTGTATATACTGTAGGGGCCTGAAGAATGGGAGAAGGTTTTATTGAGAAGGGATATAGAATTAATAGTATAATATTAGAATGAAGAACCAGGGAATAGCATCACTATGTCCCACTTATGATTCAAGCAAGCTTCTATCTTGACCGCTAGAGCATTGACACCAACTTTGTGACCATGCCGAGGAAAGATTCGTGACATGACAGTCCTTCATAAAGGCCATTAGTGGGGTAAGGAGGAGCGGGGTGTGGGGGCCCGAACACCCCGCAGTAAGGACCTGACAGGGGTCTAACTAGGCCACCGGGGGAAGTCAATCCCCTGCACCCCTTTCCCTCACGCCCCTAAGGGTCCTTATGACCTTGCCAGAAAACAACGTTCATAATAACGGTGATGGTGGCGCTGGGAGTAGCAGTAGCAGCAGCAGTGGCGGTGGCAGCAGTAACACAGTAATTGTACTAACAGCAGGAGTAGCAATAGCGATAGCATTAGCAGTAGCAGTAGTTGTCGTCTTGGTAGTAGTAGTAGTAGTAGTAGTAGTAGTAGTAGTAGTAGTAGTGTAGTGGTAGTAGTGGTAGTAGTGGCAGCAGTAGTAGTAGTAGTGGTAGTAGTAATAGCATGCGTAGTAATCGTCCTAGTAGTCGCAGTCGTCGTCGTGGTAGTAGTAGTAGTAGTAGTAGTAGTAGCAGTAGTAGTAGTAGTAGTAGTAGTAGGAGGAGCAGGAGGAGGAGGAGGAGCAGCACAAGTAGCACAGAAGTGGCGCAGAAGCAGCAGCAAAGCCACGGTATGTGATGCCGCACCTCCAGGCTTGCGGCGTCTGCGGCGGCTGGTGCATATCACGCCAGTCTTGACGCCTCCTTGGTTCATTTTGAGCTATGCTTCGTGCAGTGGGTAGGGTGTTCTCACCCACGTCAAGTTATCTTCCCTGTTCTGCCTAAACCCTAAACCCCTAAACCCTCAACAGAGAGGTGCCAGTTCCAGATCCTCTAGAACTGTCAAGAGCCCCAAACCGACCGAGAACCCCAAACTACCCCGGAATACCCTAACCTGCCCGCAGACGCAGTTACAACAGGTTGCAACCCCAGTTCTGAAGAAATACTGCAGACCCTGACCCAGCAGTATGCAGACCCTGACCCAGCAGTATGATTAGGGTATGGGGGTTTAGGTTTTGGGGTATGTGTTGATACCGAATATACATCGCCATGAGTTATAACAAGGACGGAGTAGGGAACAGGCATTGCGAATCCACGAGACAGCCTCTGGCGACACATAAGTCGAATTCTGTGGAGTAGCGGCCTAGCAAAGCTACCTGTAAACTGTTCCTTTGTGGTTGACTCAAACTGATAGACCACACAAGCAGAACATCCTCGTGCAAGCGTGGAGTGGAGGCATGGAAGGCAATGACACGGTGAGCTCCTCAAAGCCTTAAGTACCCACGCATAACCTTATAAAACAACCTTTACCGTGGCATATAACCCTAAACCTTATAACCCTAAACCCCAAACCCCAAGGGCAGGCCGAGTTCCATGTCGGACACTGGCATCCGCCCGGCAGCGCACGTGGATCCGGAAGAGGCAGCCCACATCGCCGGCACACTGTCGCCGCCCGGCCGTAAGCGTCGCGCCCTCGGTAGAACAATGGCTTTTCTAGGTTTCTATGTGGCCTTTTGCGGATTTACAGGCAAGTGTCTGATGGTTAGATTGAGATGACGTAGGACGTAGGGCTAGGGATGCATGTGCGAGGCAAGCCCTACTTTCACGATCCTACCATCGCAGGTCTGCATGAGACACACATGTGGCACACGTATCACATACAAAAGCCGATCCGTGGGTCCATACCCTAAGGCTCCACCTGCCTAATATAGAGTATATACCTAGGGCGTGTTTAAGTGCCTAATGTAGGAACCGCATTTAAGGCCTAAGTTTAAAAATCTGGTATAAGTACAGGGAGCTTTATAGGGTTATGAAACTGACAGATGATGTTACTGCTTGACAGCCTGAGTGCTATCAAAACCAGCAACGACGAAGCAAGGCACGTGTTTCACGGAGAATTCGGACATGACAAGAACAACTCGGTTGATGCTGTGTGGGCTTACCAGTAAAGGCTGAGGTCAAAGGGCGAAGAGTTTGCAGAGGTTACAGCTGTCTAGGGCATTAGTCAGTTATCGTTAGGGGTTCAGGGCCAAGGACAAAAAAACAAGCAAACATTCACGTCTCTATGGCACCCGACTGTTCGCCACCTTAATCACAGGAGGTAGGCGGTGGTAGGCCTATGGAAGAAGGCGTGATGTAATCGAAGCGCTGCAAATATCAACGAGACTATTGGGTGATGTGGCTCGGATTGACAAACTGTACAAAAGTACGTTTAGCCGAACAACGAAGACAAATATCGGATACCGAACAAACGTCAACCTGAAGTTTATGCGGCTGGCAATCCGTCACATTATGCGCGCAGCAAGAATTATGAGTGCCGGAAACATTGGCTGCGGCAACATTGCCACCGTAGCTACAACCACGAGCATTAGTGGTCGGCAGGCGGCAGCAGCAGCAGCAGCAG